CGGAAGGAGAAGACAACAGAGGAAGCTCCTCCACGTCAGCGATAGTAAAAGTACCCAGCACGCAAAGAAGCGGTTCTGAATGTGCACAGAAGAGATCCTTTTTATTAACAGAATCTCAAAGGAACATTACTAACATACTAACAGAGAATACATGTAACAGGACTAAGAAAAGAAGTTTGGCAACACACAGAAGAAGCCCAAGAAGATTAATTGGACATTATTAACAGTTTAATTTACCAGTTTATATATCACTCAGCTTTCTCTTTCTCCCACTGTCTACCCTTCCCTTTTTTTCTTTTAAGCGAAATACTTCCCCTTTTTAGGGGAGCTAATAAAACCTTTATTAAAAAAAAAAAACCCCTATCAACCACCTTCCCACCCAAACGTCTCGACTTACTATCCCTTCCTACCATTAGTAAGACTAATCAAATTTCTATGATGGGCAGAAAAACAAAACTATCCGACCACACCATCCAATTAGAACCAATTAAGCTAAATTTCTGAACCTAACTAAACAAAACAACTCATGAAGCAGTTAGGGGGCTCACTGCCCCATATCCTCCCCCATCACTGAGTCTGGGGAGGCTCCAGGCCCCCGAACCCTGCTGCCAGCATCTGCTGCCACGCCCAGACTCGCAGTGGCTGCCAGCTTTCATGACCACCACACCCAGGCCCACAGTAGCCACCAGCCTCTGCCTCTACCATGCCTGAGCCGGTAGCAGCTGTCAGCCTGCAGTGCTGCTGCCATGCCCAGAGCAGCAGCCACTGGCCTCTACTGCTGTGACCCAAAGCAGCAGCCGCTCACCTCCACCACACCCAGGCCTGGAGCACCTCCACTGCGCCCAGACCCATAGCCACTGCCAGCTTTCACTGCTGCTGGGCCCAGAACAGCCACTGGTTTTTGCTGTCAGCCTGGAACAGCTGCTGGCTTCTGCTGTCACTTAGCTGGAGTGGCTCCCTGCATTCTCTGCACATGCACAGAGAATGCAATTGTATAAGGGGTAGGATTTAAATCCCTCTATTTATTTTTAAAGATTTTTCTGCAAACTTAGCTTCCGGTCTACTAAGTCTCCGTGTGGCCCCAAACCACAGATTTAAGTTTCCACAGATGATGGCCACATGTTGTGAATTGTATATAAATTCCTGGGGTGGCTGAATGAGTATTTTTGCTTAAGACCACTCAGTAAATTTATTAGAAGTATTAATGTTAAGTGATTTGCAGCTCATTTTTAGCTAGTGAGATATAAAATTTCTCACTATAAAACACTGAATGTAAACATTAGGTCTGCCAATGAACTGAAATATATGCAAGAGCAATTAAAATTGTTGAAGTTAGCAGCATTTAGGTCTTTTGTCTTAAATATGATAAAAACTAAACTTACGGTGATGATTCCAGAATGATGCTGTTTGCCTGTGTGGAAGAAGGAGATCGATGATTTGCAAAAACCTCACTTGGAGAAGTATGAACGACATGGTCCACCAGATGTCCAACTGAAGATGGCCGTAACCGATTTCCCTCCTGAGTAAATGCACAGTTGCGACTAAACAAGGAAATAAAACTTGTTTAGCAAAAGCATATTAACAAAATTTTATATTTGGTTTCTGTGTACAGAGATCTGAACTCAGCCACTGCTGCGTCTCTTAGTTCATGGTCAGATTAGGCAACTATATATAAATTGTCCAAGATGTCTTAAACTCTATAAATAAGGAAGAAGAAATTTGCAGCAAAAGCCACAAATCAGAAACAACGGGCATTCAAAGTTGTCTGCATGTAGTGAAACAGTCCAAAGACAAGTCTATTACTATATACTCAATTTGACTCTAAAACTGATATTTCGTAATATATATTGTGGAAGTTTCCTATGAATTAATATCAATGGACTTGATTGCATGTGTTTATATAATTGTTTCCTGAGATTTTAGAATGATCTATGCAGTTAGGGGCCTACAAGAAATTACAGGGGGGAAACTTTCAAAATGACCCCCTACTAAAAATAATCTCCCGCCTCCAAGGTTTTATCCCAGGGGGGCCTGACCAGGCTGTTTCCCCTGCCCTTCATTTTTAACTGACAGTCAACTGCTCTCAACATCACATCTTTTCTGAAGCATTTTCAGTCCAGCTTCCGGTCTACTAAGTCTCCGTGTGGCCCCAAACCACAGATTTAAGTTTCCACAGATGATGGCCACATGTTGTGAATTGTATATAAATTCCTGGGGTGGCTGAATGAGTATTTTTGCCTAAGACCACTCACTAAATTTATTAGAAGTATTAATGTTAAGAGATTTGCAGCTCATTTTTAGCTAATGAGGTATAAAATTTCTCACTATAAAACACTGAATGTAAACATTAGGTCTGCCAATGAGCTGAAATATATGCAAGAGCAATTAAAATTGTTGAAGTTAGCAGCATTTAGGTCTTTTGTCTTAAATATGATAAAAACTAAACTTACGGTGATGATTCCAGAATGATGCTGTTTGCCTGTGTGGAAGAAGGAGATCGATGATTTGCAAAAACCTCACTTGGAGAAGTATGAACGACATGGTCCACCAGATGTCCAACTGAAGATGGCCGTAACCGATTTCCCTCCTGAGTAAATGCACAGTTGCGACTAAACAAGGAAATAAAACTTGTTCAGCAAAAGCATATTAACAAAATTTTATATTTGGTTTCTGTGTACAGAGATCTGAACTCAGCCACTGCTGCATCTCTTAGTTCATGGTCAGATTATGCAACTATATATAAATTGTCCAAGATGTCTTAAACTCTATAAATAAGAAGAAATTTGCAGCAAAAGCCACAAATCAGAAACAACGGGCATTCAAAGTTGTCTGCATGTAGTGAAACAGTCCAAAGACAAGTCTATTACTATATACTCAATTTGACTCTAAAACTGATATTTCGTAATATATATTGTGGAAGTTTCCAATGAATTAATATCAATGGACTTGAATGCATGTGTTTATATAATTGTTTCCTGAGATTTTAGAATGATCTATGCAGTTAGGGGCCTACAAGAAATTACAGGGGGGAAACTTTCAAAATGACCCCCTACTAAAAATAATCTCCTGCCTCCAAGGTTTTATCCCAGGGGGGCCTGACCAGGCTGTTTCCCCTGCCCTTCATTTTTAACTGACAGTCAACTGCTCTCAACATCACATCTTTTCTGAAGCATTTTCAGTCCTTGTCAAACCAGGGAGGGCCAATTCTTGACTATTAAGTGTCTATAAAATAGCAAATCTACAGAAGAATTTTGAATACTGCTCGATTTGATCTTATTCTCATACAAAGCTTGCCCTTCCTTAGTTGCTTCTTCTGCACTGCATGCAACATCTATTCTTCACTATGCCAGCCCAAAATACCATGTTCACAAAGATCGTACAGCTCACCAAATGTTCATAAGCTTCACGCTCCTGATGAAACAAGGTGTTGCCAATCAAAATTCTTGGCACAGTAATTTGCAAGCCTCCAAGATACTTTTTGTCTATTATGGGAACTTCTAAGTTTAGCACCCATCGAGAGGAAAATAGGTAGCTTCACTGGAACTATTCAGTTATGATGGCCCTGTGACAAGTTATTTATAATACCGCGTGGAACCCATACCACTGAATTGAGACAAACATTCCCAGGAGGCCACGGAACTGGGACTACC